CTCTCTCTCTCACTCTCACACTCTCTCTCACACTCTCTCTCACACACTCTCACTCTCACTCTCACACTCACACTCACACTCTCTCACACTCACACTCTCTCTCACACACTCTCACTCTCACTCTCACACTCACACACTCACACACACACACTCACTCACTCACTCACTCTCACTCTCTCACACTCTCACTCACACTCTCACTCTCACTCACACACTCTCACACTCTCTCTCACACACTCTCACACTCTCACTCACACACTCTCACACTCTCACTCACACACTCACACTCACACTCACACTCACACACTCTCGCAGTAGAGTTTTCAAGTTTTCAGGAAGTGCTTCTAGGTAGTTCAATAAAATAACAGGAAAGCATCCGGATGGAAATTAACAATCGAAGCGTCGGCGTCACACCGCTGCGTTTGGATCTGGATTCATCCGAATGGACCGAAGGCCCTCGTCTCCGCCGCTGGAAGGCACTGAGGTCCTTCTGGAGAGTCTGAGATCAGAAGAGCTTCCTATCGGATCCCAGAGCTCCATGTCGGATGAACTAATCCGGGAATGTTGGCGACATTCAGCCGTCGATCCGATGGAGAAACCGTACCATTGTTTGAACCAGTGAAACAGCACAACGAGCGGAGACACCACGTTCAACCAAACTGTCTATGGCACAGAAGTGAACTAACCAAGCCATCCGATCTGAGCGACACACAGAGAGAACACGTGACAGACGTGCTTTAGTCTGAAACACCACATTAGCTGAAGCAATAAACAGAGAAATAAAACTATGGAAGCTAATCAGCATGACAGTATTGGCACTGGCAACCGTCCCTGAAAATAAACACAAATGTGAAACACAAAGAAAGCTTTCCGCTCCGCTCCAGCCGTGTTCTCAATCACGCAGCGGCGAGCGTCCGGAACACAGGAAGAGAGAGAGTCAAGAAAACCCCGGAGATGTGGAGCCTCCAAACGAACACCTGAGCTAGTCGTGGTTGGTCAGCATGTCTTCGGACCGCCGGTGCGTCTCCAAGGCTTTGGTGGTGAAGGAGTCCTGAGGAAGATCCGATTTACGCCTGACGAGCGGCCGCTCCTTCCTCTGCTCCCTCGACATCTGCACACACACAGATACACACACACCCACACACACACAGAGACACACACACACAGAGAGACACACACACAGAGACACACACACAGAGACACACACACACACACACACACACAGAGACACACAGAGACACACACACACACACACAGAGACACACACACACAGAGACACACAAACAGACACACACACACACACACACACACACAGAGAGAGAGAGACACACAGACACACACACACACGTGAGTCACACTGCCGGTCATCACTCTCCCAGAATCCTCTCTGTTATTCAGTGCTGGGAAGGTTACTTTGGAAATGTAACAGGTTACAGATGAAAAGTTACTCTATTTAAAATGTAATAAGTAGTTTTTAACTTTCAATTACTTTATTAAAGTAATGTAACTGATTACATTTGGTTACATTTTGATTGCTTCTCTAAATGTTTTTAACTATCAATCATTTTGAAACATGTAAAGCAGGCCGGGTTAACCTTACAGCAGTATTTAACACTAATTACTGTCAGACCTTCAGAATCCTTCATCACTCGAATTAAGATAATAATAATTTAATTTTAAAACACAGCCACCACAAAATAAGACTTACTTTGAGATCATTCTGAGATTAAATACAGATTTAAAATCATAACAAGATATAGCCTAGTATACAGTATATAGCTATGATACTGTTTTTAAAATCAAATATTTGCATAGTTATGACAGAAAACACTGGCATCTAACAATGGCTTGGAAAAAACAGTTAAAGCATATACATAAACCCAAATAGGAAATAAAACAGTTATGGAATAAGCATGTGTCCTAAACTCCTGAAACATTGCTGTCTCATATTTTAGAGCAGTCAACGAAATTTATGAAAGAAATCAATCATATCTGTATGTGAGTGTGTGTGTGTGTGAAAAAAAATCAGATGTAACCCTGTTTGTAATTAACATTTTTTGTAATTAACAACTGTAATTTAATTACACAATTTTTCTCTGTGACTGATTACAATTACATTTATTTAGTAATTAAATGACGTAATTCTGTTACATGTAACTAGCTACTTCGCAACACTGCTGTTATTATAACATATCCGCGTCATTCTGTGTCGACTCAACCAGACGTACCCGGCTAAACGATTAGATTTTTATATTTTTTCTGGTGAATGAAATACACAAATGAAGAAGAAAGGCAAAATATTAAATGCCATGTATTAGTAATCCACAGTTTTGTAGAGAGGGTCAAAATGACAATTCCTCCTGAGATCTGGAGGAGAACATGTCTTCAGAAAGATGGCAGCATCATTAAGTTATTTTCACGCAGAGATTGAAAGCTCTATTAGTAAAATCTGTCGACTTTGGCATATAATGCCCCAGATTTGCTAATGGTGACCGTTCAAAAATAGGGAAAAAACACTACATTTTTATGTGTGTAACTCAAGAAATATTAAAGATATCCTTTTAGATTCTTGTTCTTAAACTTTTCTTTTGTAGGCTCTGTATGGTTCAGTTCCAGAGATACCGAGGTCTCAATGAGGCTCCAGAAATAAACTGTTCATTTGGTCAGAAACCAAACGTGGCTCATTTTGCACACAGTTGATACTTTTTTCTTTTAAAGAGGCATGTCTGAAGAACAAATAATGTTGAAACTAGAAATGCATCTTGTTTTATCTATCAAAACAACTGCCTAGATCACACCTGCTCTTTTTCCAAGCGTTGCTTGCCTGTAACTCAAGAAGTGTTAAAGATATCTCTATATCCTTTTAGATTCTGGTTCTTAACAAACTGTTCTTTTGTAATAATCACTTTTTAGAGCCTACGTGGTTCAGTCCCAGAGATATGGAGATTTCATTCCGGCTCCATGTGCAGATTTGTCACTGTCGTCGTATGAAATCATCTTTCTAAAGTCACTTTCCCCTGTAATTTAGCTCTAAATCTCAGGTGATAATTGTTGTTTTGACTTCATGGCATTTTAAATGATACATTTTAGCGGAGGAAGCTTCTGAAATGCGGTTGATTTGACTCGTCTGATATACACACATGATGACTGATATTCACTGAATAAAAGCAGACAGTGGAGAGGTGAAGCATTTCTCCAGCTTTAGTGCCCGTATGGAAAGATGGATTTCTAACTCATAACCACAAACGCTGTCGCTCAGGTGGAGATTGAGAAGAGAAAGGAACACGCGACGCGGATCGTCCTGTAGGGAGTTCTATCATGAACAGACCCTGATATGCCACTATCAGCCATCATGAGGTCCGGATTAATTTAATCAAGAGATGCCACAGAAATCTTTTGTATGAGGACTGAAAATACCGCGTGATGCCTCGTGATCCAATGAA